GACAAAATGAAGATAAAACCAACGGTATGGTTTACACTACTAATGATAAACGACAAACAATTATGGCAGACAGAAACCAAAGACAACCTCTGGATTTCAGGCTCATGACTTAAGTAAAAGCGAAGTAAAAGATACCAAAGGGATATTCAAACTCATTAGTCGAAAATAAACTGACAATGTCATGGCTAAAAAAGAAAAAAGTCCAACAGAAAAACAACAGTACCCAAAACAACATAGAAAACTAAAGACTGAGTAAAACGAACCCCATAAAAATTTGAGGTGATCTAAGGTGTTCTTGAAGGTTAAGCATATCCTGCTCCACATGTGACACCAGTCGTGTTGCTCATTTAAGAAAAAAAACCAAGTGATATTCTAATTCGGTAGGTTCATTTTCGGAGAAAATGGGACGGGATTGATGTAAAGACAATTGAAACATATCTGTCGTCATCTGTGAAACATATATTCCATAACGGTCAACCAACTCGTGATAACGTCCTTAAAATTTACGAAAGGATGATTTCAACTCTTGGTTTAACAGGCGGAGACCCAGTTGAAATTAAACAAAAGAAATGGAACTTTTTTAGAGAAGATAAAAAAGGCCAAGTTGGTAAATTTGAATTGTTTACATCTGTTTCTATGGGTTTAAAAAGTTGAATGAATGTGCATAGTTTAGGATTTTATGCATCTTACATATGTGTTTTTACTTAAATTATGGTATAGAGCTTCGAGATATTTGTAAACTTTTTAATTAAAGACAAATTTTCACAAAACAGTCGATAGGGTAGGTGCAAATACATGTGGATCTTTTTGTGCAGAAGCATAAATTCCGCCGAAAGAAATTCCAAAGAAAGATAATAGATTGATCTGTTTAAAGCATTTATTTGCATCTTTGCCCCCGGCGACAGTTTTTTTTTTGGAAAAATTCCCGAAAATGGGCAATAATTTCATCGAAAATAGAAAGTCGAGGATACCTTTTTATGTTCAGGTGTGTTTGAGTTAACTATTCTGTTTTGAAAACGTATAAAAGAAAAATATTTGATACATCATCTCGTTTCATATTCTATTATTTTTATATATTTAGGCTATAGGTTGATAAATATCATTAAAAACTTACAGTACTCCGAAATGAAATATATGGGTCAAGTGAAATATCTTTCTAATGAGTCATAACAACAGAGTAGGTGTGTTCAATTTATAATTTTTGAGTAAAAGTAGTTGATGACAGGCTTTACAAGTGGATCTTAAAAAATCATAACTTCAAAAAACTTCATTTTGTGTGTGTGTGTTATTTAGGGTAATTAGTCCTCCACCTCTGAAAATATTTAGTCTGCCTTTCCACGAAATATTTAATTAGAATTTTAAAAAATATTTTTGAACTCTCGAAAATTTCCATTGACAACCGATCAGACAATAGTTTTTAGTTGACCAAATGCATAAAAGTACATTAAATGATGCTCAATAGCTAGTAGATTCATTTGTCTTTTAAGATACAACTGGTATATAATGATCGTAATGATGCTATGTGGATAAATTGATCGGTTTTCAAGAGCTAAATTCCATTTTTATGATTACAAAAATTAGGTGGCATAATGGAGAGATAATTCTGACGAAGTAGAATCCTTACTGTTAATAGCTTCCTTGTGTACAGCAACCCTCTATCAAGGAAATCATGATAGGAAGTACAAGCCCTGGAATATCGTGTTAACTGGCAGATATATATGCGCTGCTGGAATGTTGCTACATAGAAATGGAATGTTCACAATTGGGAAGCTGAAATCATCTCTTTTGTCGTAAAGGTCTTTGTTTTCAACCAACCCTCATTGTCATTTTCTAGATGTTAGTCAAGATATGAGGCAGACTTAACTGTTTCTGTTGCAGCCTTTTTCTGAAGTTCGATGTGATAAATGCGTTCAATATAGTCACCAGTAAACAACGACAACGACCGGACTACGGATTCCTGAGATAGTACAAGCACACAAAGAACGTCGCGGGATTAAGACAATTGAGTGTACATCCCACCATAACCTGGATCAGTATTGTGACATCACAACATATACAGAAATAATTGTAAAACTCAGGTGGAATTAACTAGCCTCAGCACTAAGCACAAAACAAATAACAAACAGATGATAAACAAAAAGTACCGATTTCTCGCAGTAAATGGAAGCTAGTTTAAAGCCTAAGTACATTCTTGCATAATTAATGAGTTCTGGTCTATTGGATGATAAAACAAAACAATTTTTGCTCCTAATTACATCCACTACAGTCCTGAAAATGACACGAAACATATCTTTTCATTGATATCTATAAAGGTACTGCATTTTCACGGCTTGAAAAAAAAAACTATGACTTTGTAGATACTGCCTTTTTAATCATATACTAATTATTTGTGTCTTTTGTGAAATTAGGTATTGATAGTAGATTTTGATAGTTTATAAAAATCATTCCAAACTAGTTAAGGCATGGGAGGATTAAGAGGGTGACATGTAGTATAAACACGTTTGCCATAAAAGCGGGAGGTTTGGCTAGCCACAAAACCAGGTTCAACCCACCATTTTGTCTTAAAATGTCCTGTACCAAGTCATGAAAATGGTCATTGTTATATTGTAGTTCGTTTCTGTGTGTCTAGTATTTAAGTGTTGTGTTTCTGTTGTGTCGTTGTTCTCCTCCTATATTTGATGTGTTTCTCTCAGTTTTTGTTTGTAACCCGGATTTGTTTTTTTTTCTCAATCGATTGATGAATTTCGAATAGCGGTACACTACTGTTGCCTTTATTTTATTGATATTGACCGTATGTTGACATATTTACCTCTTTTCCATGTATCTCGGTGGATTTGACGTACTTAATAACATGCCTGGTATCTGCGCACATTTTTTATATTTATTACAAATTGGTACAGTATGATTGACAAAAGTCCTGTTATTCTTGATCTTAATCTGTACCTGAAAATTAACTTTTACGTTGTTCAGGTGCCGAAGTTTACCGATCATTAGCTGTTGATTAACAATTAACACAGAACCATGGAACACGTTGAAAATAAGTTAGACGACGATAGATCGATATATATTTGTTTTTTTTATGTTTTTCATGTTAAGCAAACAGTTGTTAAATGATTTGTTGTATTATTGTATTTTTTTAATTTCAAAATCAATTAATACCATCTATTGTTTACCTTTTGTTTCATCACGGGTTTTCCTCGCACTTGGAGAAAGTTAAACGAAAGGTATCATAGAAAAGCTGTGGGCGAATTAGAGCACGGGAAGACAATAATTCAATAGCAGTACATTTTTGAAGATTTCTATCAAATAAAGGATTTTCTTTTATAAGAAAGTCTCTGAACCCATTTGAATCATAAAACTTAGCCATACAAATATATAAAACACTTTCTCCTTTTCAAAAAATATTTAATTTGAAGAATCATAGGACTGTAAACATTGTATACCGTCAAAACAATATTGTATAAACCTTCTTTTGAGAGCACTCGTTTTTATATGTTATTAGAAAGAAAAAATAAGTTGACATGATTTGTTTAAATTAAACTGAATATTTGCAAAGCATTTCTTTATAATTGTTTTGTATATCAATTTTTAGTAACAGCCTATAATTGAAATTTTCAACACAAACAAGTAATGCCATCTAATTAGAATTTTAATTACGTATGACCTATACTATAGGAAGAAATCCTCCCTGTAAAAACACTGTTTTATTTGAACGATTTCATTTCTTTCAAACACAAATGTATTTATCCCCCACCTTTTTATTTCAGAACTTACTGTCCATAGCAGAATGTAAAGTGCAAGTTTGGGGTTCTGTTTTTATTTCTAGAAACAATTTTTTTGAATATCATTTAATATATTTAAAATATGTGTTTTTTCAAATTTAATTTGTGCTCCACTTAAACCCTATTCATTGTACGATGGAGGGTAATATGTAAACAGTAGAACAAATTACTGACAGCCTGTTTGTTTTTTATCTCAATTTCAAGTTTTCCAAGATTGATGAATTAATTTGACGATTTATACCAAAAAAGTTATATTTTTACAATGCAAAGGGTGGGGCATTAGACCTTTACGTAATCATGTATCAGCAACTGATAATACCTGAAAATTTAGTTGATTACACTTTTATTTTTGATGTATTATTTATAAAACACATGTTGTATTTGTTATAAAAATAAGGAGATGCGGTAGTATTGCCAATGAGACAACTATCCAAAATGTTCAAATAAAGTGGATGCAAGCAATTATAGGCAACTGTATGGCCTTCAACAATGAGAAAAACCTATAGTCGGTTATAAAAAGGCACCGACATGAAAAATATAAAATAATTCAATTGAGAAAACTAACGGCTTAATTCATAACAAAACAATTTACACCCCCAGTTTTTGGTGGGGTTCGTGTTGCTTAGTCTTTAGTTTTCTATGTTGTGTCATCAGTACTATTATTTGTCTGTTTGTCTTTTTATTTTTGGCCATGGCGTTGTCAGTTTGTTTTCAATCTATGAGTTTGACTGTCCCTATGGTATCTTTCGTCCCTCTTTTAAAAATTAATAAAGAATGTGTCGGGGTTAAACATGTATGTGAGCGCTCAACCCTCCCCTAACCTGGGACAGTGGTGTTACAACATACCATTAGAACAAACTATAAAAATCAGTTGAAAAGGGCTTAACTCATCAGATCGATACAAAGAAAAAAAAACATATACAAAAAACACAGACTGGACGTATGTTAAACTATTTGTAATAACCAAGTACTTCACTAAAAAGGGTAACACAATGTATTCTTGCTTTCTTTTTTAAATGCATCTTTATCCAATGGAGACTATCCTCGTCCGTGTTTTAAAAATCTAACTGTTTCCGTGTTTTGCATCTTCGCTAGGCAAGGATTACGAGCCATTCCCCTGCTCCAAACCCTTAGCAGATTAAGCCAACATTTGTCTTCCGAAATTCTATCTTTATCCGCCAATGGTCGAGAAAATGGACTTGATCGTAAGCACGCCAGTTCTGATTCTAAGATTTATTATTCATTTATATGGTATTTACAAACAAGACTGAAAGTAGACACAAAAGGTGATTTATGTATCAAAGTTTTAAAAAATCATTATACAGTTATTTTTGGGAAAACAAGAAAGTTAAAGTGAAAGTGAAAGTACAAACAAATGATTACGGATATCATAACTTATGAGTCACTAGATAGATTGAGGGAACATTCATGTTAGTAGTTTCATATATCATTAAAAGTTCGCTTAAAAACAGTGTCAAACAACAGTTCCTTAAAATATACGTATTACTGAACGACACTGAGTATATTTACAAATACATAGATAAAGGAATACGTACACAAGAGATAAAAATATCAAATGTACATTCAGTTGACTAACTTTACATAAATTACTGGTAGCCTTGTAATAATCATTGATTATATCCTAATCAAGCTGATCAAGTTATGATACATGAATATTGATAATAAAAGGGACATTGGGTTGATACGTCAATGAGACAGCCACCGAACGACACAGACATCCCCAAGAAATGTGTTAAAAGACAACTTTACGACTTTACGAGAAAACCAAATATTCATACTGTTTTATATTTTTTGGGTAATTTTTAAAAGAAGTAGTTTAACCTTGTTTACGCACACGGAATTTATGGAGTAGGTTTGTTGGGAGTCTTTTTTGGTGCCAAACATTGATTCCTTTGTTTCAAGATGAAGAGTGTTCCAGTTGATGTGTGAGAAAGTTAAACGTGACGATTTTTGACGTTTTTACAAAATTTTGCCAGTTAAATTAGATCGAAAAATTTCACAAATCTTCTGGATTTTAAATAAAATTAGGCCTTAGAGCGCAAGGTTTCACAAACTATATATTAAAGTCAGATAATTCATTTGTAATAACAAAAATAAAAAGAACGAATCTTTTTTGTTGACGCATGCGCTCTATGTTTCCGTAAAAAAAACCATTTGAAATTTGCAGGTTTTTATTGAATTTGGCGGAAAATTAAGATGTGTGCTAATTGTGACATCATAGAAATAACGCTAATACGTAAATTTACCTTTTTCTATCTAGTAATTGTTGAAGCAATGCTACAATGTGATTATGACCTCTAAATCCTTATTTGAAAATTCAGCTAGAAATAGGGGTCATTATCTTACATACTCATTTTTATACAACTCAAATTATGCCAGTGCTGCTAGGCTGAAAGTTATCGCGAGAAAATGACCTATACCAACCAGGCGATATGGTAATTAAACTTGAAGCTCACGTCACATTTTAGTCCACCTGACAAAAAGGGTCAACTGAGCTATTCTCATCACTTAGCGTTCGTTGTCGTTGTCGTCCGTCGTCGTCCGTTAACGTTTACAAAACTCTTCTTCTTTGAAACTACTTCGTCAATCTTGGCCACAATCATCCTTGGGGTTTCTAGTTTGAAAAAATATGTCCGATGAAACCGCTTCCCAACCAACATGAACGACATGGCCAAAAACATTATCTTCAAAACCGCTAAAATCTGATATGGGCAGAATGTTGAGTGCCATCTACACCAAAACTGTCAAGCGACTCCTTATGGGGTTATTTTCCTTGAATGAATTTGTTTACAAATTTCTTTATTTTTTGCCTATTATGTGATGACTTTAATAGATAAAGTTAACGCGACCGAAATTGTGAGTCGATTTCTTATAGGAGTTATAGCCCAAATGATTATACCTATCAATTGTTTGCCTTTAGGCGTTTCATTCTGAAAACTATAATAGATAAAGAGTAACTTAAAATTGTAAAAATGATCAGCAGGACAGATTTGTCAAGTGGTTCTTGGTCGATTCCTGATGGAGTTATTGCCCTTCAATGATGATTTTTACTCATATTATGCATATTTGTTCAAAACTATAGTAAATGAAAAAAATGGGAAACTGCAAAATATACCATCAAATAAGATATTATGCAAAAACTAGAAAAAGTCGGAAAAACTGAAAACATAGAAAATGATTCGCTATGCAATGCCAACAAATAAACCCAGATATTAGTCATGAATTATTATGTAGTCTGTTAGTGTTGGAAAATGCACATAGATCCAGGTGAGGCACAAAAGACAAAAATGATATATTCGCTTTAAACTGTGTTCGCTATATTCAAGGTTTATGTCCGACGGTTAAAACCTTGGTTCCGTAGAAACAGATTGATCAGTTTCACTCTGATGGTTCACCTTTTCAGAAACGTAACCCACATTCGGCAATACATTACTAGACTCTTGTAAGTCCTTGTACTGTCCTGCTTTTATCTTCTTTATAGTAATACGCCACAGAATGTCATCGTAACCCTTTAGTTTGAAGATGAAAAGGATTAACATTATAATTGTTGCCAGCGATACAGCCAGTAAAATTCCAAGAACAATATCAACTGATCCGTTTTTGCTTTTACAACCTTCTTGTAAGCCTAGAAAAAAAGAAAAAAAAAAGACGTAGCATATGCTTAGATTTCTTTAAGATGGCTTTATTACTGATTGTTTCCAAATGAAACTAAAAATGGTCGGAAAAGGTTGAAGCAAGATATTTTAATAATGATATATTTGCATGTTCAATTTTTATTAACGGATGCCTAAGATTCATGAGAAAAATATTTCGGGACATTTTATATAGATCATATATAGTTTTGATATCATGATTTTTTTAAATGAAGAACAGGCGCACACGGAACCACCCTTTCAATCATTTGAAACGATTCTAAACAGCCCCTCAAATATAACTAAAACCGTGATAGTAATTTTCATTTTGCCTCACTGACGGAAAATTTATAGCCCTTAAGAACGTTGTGAATTTGTGACTAGAAACATCGTTGCCCTTATTTGATAACAATGGCGCAAACGAAAGGATATTTCTGTTTTTGATATCCTGTGGTGTTTTTCGTTGATGAATAATATCTTCGTTGTTGATCTGTGGTTTGTATGTTGTGTCGACTATTATATTTTTTGTTTGTGCGTTTCTCTGTTATGAATGTTCTTGTGTGTGTTTAAGCTGTATTTCTGTCACGTAGTGTTTTAGCGATATTTTTTAACATTGTCATAAAGCGGGAGGTTTGGCATGCAATGAAACCAGGTTCAACCCACCATTTTTTCTTAAAATGTCCCGTACCAAGTTATCAAATAGTTCGTTTCTATGTGTGTTGGCGTTTGTTTTTGTTGCACTTCGGTGTTCCTGTTGTTTCTTTGTTTTCCTCTTATAGTTGATGTGTTTCCCTCGATTTTGGTTTGTAACACAGATTTGTTTTCTTTAAATAGATTTATGACTTTTGAACACCGGTATATACTACTGTTGCTTTTTTTTTTTTATTCATATATAAATGCAACAGAACATTAAATTATATATCACGGTAATTGACCACTCGGGTTGTACTAAATAGGGGGTAGATATTTTGAAATTGTGTTGACGATATGTTGCAAACAAACTTTTATTCACACTGAAAATACATAATTGTAAGACACATTTATTTCATATGTTAGCTTGAAATTTTCTTTGCATTTGAACTGTGAATTTGATAGGAAAACATGCAAAATTAGATGTGCTTACCTTGTGATAACTCGCATTGTTACGAGTACTCAGTATATATAGTACCAGAAAATGTGGCGGAGCTGCATGCATTATTACATGTACTTCCTTAGAATAGTATAGACTAAAGTCTTTTTTCAGACTGTCCGTCAATGATTGAATGAATGAATGAATGAATGAATGCATGAATGAATGAATGAATGCATGAATGAATGGATGAATGAATGTTTAAATGTTAGTTAATATTTTAAACACATGCATTAAGCCAAGATAGTCAAATTACATAACTCGCAATATTTGTCAAATTACAGAATGACAATCCCTCAATAGGTTAAATTGGTTTTTTTTTCGGTCATTTTTTTGATTTTTAGCTCCTTACTTATTCAGGTATATGTCTCCTTGGTTTAACAGGTTTTGGGTTTGAGCGTTGCCGATGACAGTAAATCCAGAACACCGCTTCGGACTCACGAAATTGAAAACGTTTTATTTTCAAGTAAAAAGTATGAAAGTAATAGCGTTTACCGACAAAAGGACGAAGACTATTTGTCCTCGATCGTGGAAATTCAATTTGTAATGTAATGTCTAATAACTGTTAAACTAGTATTTCCTGAAAATATTGTGATACCTGATGACATCGATGATTTAGTTGAAACAGTTATCGATGCCTTTGTTGATGAATCAGTAATCGATGTCTTTGTCGTCGGATCGGTCATTGATACCTTTGTTGATATTTTTGAAATCGGTCGTCCCTTAGTTGATGTATCAGTCATTGATACTTTAGTTGATGATTTTGACAGCGGTCCCTTAGTTGATGTATTAGTCATTGATACCTTAGTTGATGAATATGACGTCAAACCGTTAGTTGAAGATTTAGTCGTTGATACCGTTATAGAAGAGTAGGTTGTTGTTCCCTTAGTTGATGAAGTACCTGATTGGCTGGTCGGTTCAAAGACAGGAGGACCCGCAGTTCCATTGAAAACCTTCCTCATTGTTTGCATTATCGGGTATTTTCCATGCCCACATATGCCATGGAAATCATCGATGTCTATTGCCCATATCATACCTCCACCTAAACCATTGTCTATGATATACTTTGTCTGTAATAAAATTGATACTGATCTTTTATATTAACTACTACATTTATTCACAAATAATCCACACTCGAAGTCGAGTTAGACATAATGTATAGGAATTTGCCATCGCTGATGACTCAACATGTTTCTTGTCGTTGAATTATGTAAAAAAATATATATCAATGTTTGCATTTTATTTGACATATGTATTATATTAATTTTCCAAAAATTCTAGTATCTCAAAAGTTAATATAAAGTCAAAAAGATGTGTAGCAAACTATGATTTCCAACTGAACAAATATCCTCAAAAGACTAAAGACCAAGCATTTGATCACTACAGACCACAGTACTACCATTTCTCAACAATGAGAAAAATTCACACCGAATACTTAACTATGTCAAGGCATAATAAAATTGAAACAATTCAAAAGGGAAAATCATCGGACTGATTTATATGTAAATAAACAACGACAGACATTTATCGCCGATATCAACCAATGATGAAAACTGGGTTACAGACTGACGTATGTGACAGATATAAAAGTATGTAGTGGGTTTGAACAAGTTTGCGAGTGCTTAATAAAGGCAACAGTAGTATACCGCTGTTCGAAACTCATAAATCGATAGAGATAAAAACAAATCCGGGCTACAAACTAAAACTGAGGGAAACGCATCAAATATAAGAGGAGAAAAACGACACAACAAAAACACAACATTAAAATGTAACACACACAGAAACGAACTATAATGTAACAATGGCCATTTTCCTGACTTGGTACAGGACATTTTAAGAAAAAAATGGTGGGTTGAACCTGGTTTTGTGGCATGCCAAACCTCCCGCTTTTATGGAAATGTTAAATATAATATTAAAATGACAACATTACATGACGTGACTACAATACAAATAAATGGGAGAACATATAGGACAAAGAAACACACGAATAATAGCTAACAAAAGGTACTAGGTTTAAAATTTAATATAGCTATATTAAACACAGGGGAAATCACTAAAAAAACGAAGCGAAATATATTAAACTGTTGTTTCTCTTTTTGTCGTTTTTCGTGTTTTGCCTTTCAATTGTGAGTTTCTCTTTGACTTATGATTTTTGAATGTCCCTTTTGGCATCTTCCGTCTCATTTTAGGAATACAATCAGTGTTACAGGTGATACCACTAAAGACAATATTAGAACTTTCTACTGCAATGTTATAGTGATAACCTTTAAGAATATTTTTTATTCAAAGTACAAGTTTACATGGATGGTATCTTTATTTACCGGTAAAAATAAAGAATGTGATATCCCGTTTGTAATAAGAAACAGCTTCAGTCAATCTTCCAATCCAAATATATGAAAGATATGAGACTTTTTTTTAAGTTTCCGCGACAATAATGTACGAGTTGCACATAGATTATGTTTATTGAACTATAAAACGTCAATACAGACACTTTCATAGTATTTTGTCGATAATTATGTTCCCTTAACGTGCGTAGATGTTATCATGGAGAAAACGTACAGTTTTAATCATGTCGTCACAGTGAGTTAACTACCTCATTATATTTCATTAAAAGTAGAATAGATTCAAAACTAAAATGCATTTAGTACTAGTTATAAATATATATAGTGTGCAATCAACATGATTGATTAAACTAGAGGTTCTAAAGATACTGTGTCGCTCATCTTGGTCTATGTGCATATTCAACAAAACACACTCTCCAACATTGTAGACGCGAATAGAACTCATGACAAAACCTCTGTTTTGTTGCTCTTGTAATGCTGATCATTCAGTCTGTTTAGTTTCTCTCTATCTTCTTTAGTTTTTGCTCAAAACACAAAAAGAGTGTAAAAAAAAACTTCATTTAAGGGTAACACTCCTATAAAGAGTAACAGTCTACTAACTATATCGGCAAACTTTGACTTGTTAGTAGATTTTGCCTTGCTGAACATTTTTGCGATTTAAAGTGTCTATTTATCTATTATAATTTTTATCATATTAGGCAAAACGCAAAAAAAAATAAATGTAAAAATCGTTATTAAAGGGCAATAGGCGTCGGACGATTTCAACCATATTGTCTGAATTGTAGATCTTGTCTTGCTGATCATTTTTTGCTTATTTAAGGTAACATGTACGTACATGGACAATCTCACGGATTTTTATGATTTTTTGCAAACAATTTGAGCATGTGGAACTGCATATGAATATTATTTTATTAACTTTAATACTTTCGGACATATAGAAAACTGAATATTCTCTAAAAAGAAAAACACATGAATAGGATGCACGTAAAGATCGAAATCCGTTTTTGCTGTATAAATCATTCAAGTGTCTCTGTAATATCTCAAAACTTTAAAGATTTTTACGTGCATTCTATGCATTTGTACTACTATTTTCCGGATTTTTTAATTGTTGTATCTTAGAAAGTATAAAAGTTATATGTATAATTTTTTCGATGTTTATGTGCAGTTCCTCGTTCTCTAGTTGTATGCAAAATTTCATAAAATTCCTAGAGATCATCCATTTACGTACTTTTTACCATAAGTTTTTATCTATCTATTACAATTTTTAAGATATAAGGCCAAAACGCCAAGAAATGGTAAAAATCGTTATCAAAGACCAATAACTCTAATAAGGACTTGAATGGCAATATCGACCATCAGACTTATTTGTAGAACTTATCATGCTGATCATTTTTGCAATTTAAAGTTTCTCTCTATCTATTATAACTTTCAAGATAATAGGCAAACATTAAAAAAATAGTAAAATTTGTCATTTAACGGCAATAATTCCTATAAGAAGTCGTCTGACAGTTTTTATGTGTATAAACAATTGATAGAGCTCAACATTCTGAACATTTTTGCTTTTGCAAGATTTTCTCTATTCAGAACGGTTTTCAAAATAATAGACAAAACTCGCATTTTTCCCCAATTTATACTTATACTAATTTTTAGCCATGTCGGCCATCTTGGTTGGAAGGCGTGATCATCGGACAAATTTTTTAAACTAGATACCCCAATGATGATTGTGGCCAAGTTTGTTTAAATTTCATAGTTTTGTAAAAGTTAACAACAACGGAAGACGGACGCCAAGTGAAAAGTAAAGCGCGCGTGGCCTTTCAGGCCAGGTGAGCTAAAAATCAATACATTATTCCTTACGGCTGATTTAAGCTGTGATTTTCTTCTTGAACGAGAAGATTTTGTAAAAGTTTACGACGACGGACGACGGACGATGACGACGGACGCCAAGTGATGAGAAAAGCTCACTTGGCTCTTCGGGCCAGGTGAGCTGAAAATCAATACATAATTTCATACGGCTGATTTCAGCTTCGTGAAGTTTCCCACAAAAATACTGACATTGTGCCTGTTTTGTCAATTTTTTCTCTGGTTATGCTTTCGGTAAATAATGTCAGATACATATATGCTAGTGTCCAACTACAACATTGATGTTTGTTTTAAGCTATTCATTATAGTCATGAAAACCTTTCAACGCCTTATATGATTTAAAACTAATGCTGTTTTTTTATTGACTAGTTACTTCTTAGATTTCCCGTGAATTTGTGTGCATCCACCCTGCACTTCCATGATTTTACAACCTTCTCAAAAGTACATTTCGTTTTTAAATGCGCGTTTGATTTTTAAATCCTACCTTTATTTCAATGCTTTTAGGATTATCATAACCAACCCATTGATCGCCTTTGTAGGCATATGGTACTTGTTGATCTTCTAACCACCCTTCCGTCCATCCATGATTGTTGATATTGGTACAGATCTGTGGAAAAAAAGATTGAGTTGCGAGATAGGTATGAAGTACAACCATTTCTTTATATAAAATTAAAGAAACGTGATATGATTGCCAATGAGACAACTTTCCATAAAAAAGACAACCGTCCTGGACATGCATGTAATATTAGCCACTAGACGGTAACCAAACAACACGCAATCAATCAAATAAACATAAATGTAAACATAATGCTAAATGCTTCTTTGTCATCGTGATTACATTTGTCGAATGTCATATAGTTACAATAGTTTATTGTTATCTATATCCCTTACGAATCACAACCTTCAGCAATCAACTCAGTAGACAGTGTTCGGTACTGCCATTCTTTATAATCCTCTATTCCAAAATTCAAAATGCATATTTACATTACTAATAGTTGTTGAATGACATTAACGAAAGCTTTATATAACTGCATATTTACATTGGTAATAGTTGTATTTTGTTACTAGAATTTGATATGTCCTTTTAGATATAACGTAACATATAAACTTTATATTAAGGCATTGTTTGACACTATACCTCATAGTATGATTGGAATCCTTTTTCTCGGGTATATGTTCCAGCTGTACCTTGACCAGTGGTAGGAGCACCAAATCCTGTCTCAGCTATGTTTCTTAATGTAAAAGACCTTCCATAGGTTGCCATTCCCACAATCAGTTTATGTTTCGGTGTTCCTCCATTCAACCACATCTTAACAGCAAAATCCTTCAAACAGAAACATTTAATGACTAAACACCTCTGATATTAATGTGTTGTACTGTTTTTATGTTGCCTTTAATGTAAATGTATAATTCACAGCTCATTTACCATTGTCATACATACCAATAATCGGAAGTCGGGTGAAAAACATGATTATGGAATACGTGTTGATCTTAGTTATACAAGAAATGATTTTCATATTCTGAGAAGCAATACAACCTTGACCTCTTTCTAGTCAGGGTAAAGTTTATCATGTTATCAGCACAAAAGTTAGTCAAATGTTTCGATCAGTGATAGGCGCGAGTGCAGATAAAAAAGGGAACCAAACACTACCTTTTGCATTTACTGATTCTTATTCATTTTCATGTTTGACTTCACCCAGATGTGTCAGATGTGAAGAAAATTACGGATATGTTTATTGAGGAACCTGGTATCATTAGTAGTATTACCTGACAACTCATCTTGCTTTGTTCTTGTGTAGCTCAGTCTTTTGATTTCTACACAGGCAAATTCACCTCAATGAGCTTATATGTGAAACTAACGTGAATATTTTCACGTGAATTTTACATGAATTGAGATTCACATGAATCTCATGTGAAATGTTTCACGTGATCTTTACAAAAAAAGCCAGGTATTTTTCGTGATTATAACGAACTTTGAAAACTTAGATGTTATTTGAAAAACATTATTATGAAAGCTCATGTGATATTCACGTGAAATTTACGTGAGTTTTACTTGAGATTCACTTGAAACTCACGTAAAATTAGTTCACATGAGTTTATACAGCATTTTGTAAACTCGTTTGTCTTTTCGTCGGTTTTGGTTTTCTTCATGGCGTTGTCAGTTTTTCTTCAACTTATAAATTTTGAATGTCACTTTGGTATCTTTTGTCTTTTTTGTTCACAGTTAAGTTTAGAGAAAATTAAATTCTAATAATTTTACATCTGATCTGTACTTGTAAGGGCGAAAATCTTATATATCGATTTTGTCTTTTTTGAGGTGTAATATTTCGTTTTTGTTTTTGTGTTTTCTGATATGCAATAGAATCATTGTTGTTCATTGTGACAATGAACCTGTATACTCACTACATTTTTGGCCTCGTTTGGTGCCAAAAATTTGTATAACGGACCTATATACTTACTACATTAAAGGCCTCGTTTGGAGCCAAAGATTCGTATAAAGGACTGTTATGTTGTGTAACGCTGTTATAATCACTGAATAAATCGTATGACATGAGATTGATGAAATCTAAATGTCTGAAATAGAATGGAATGAAAACAAAATACAATAAAAACGTATTTACCGTCCAAGAACTACACTAATGAAATTACATAAACACCGGAATCGAAGGAAGATACCAAATGCGATATTCAAAACTCAAAAGTCAAAGACAAACTGGCAATGCCGTGGCAACAAATAAAAATGACATAAAGACAAACAACAGTCTACAAAACACAACATAGAAAACTAAAAACTGAGCAACACGAACCACATAAAAAACGGGCGTGACCACAGGTGCTTCAGAAGAGTAAACAGATACTGCCACACATTTGGTACCGTCGTATTACTCTTGTTGTGTAAGTAAATATTCGGTGATAATTCTCATTCGGTCATGTCACATTCGAGGAAAAGAGGGCGTATTTGTGGTAAACGAATCCCTTGGTTTTATAACTTCATTGTAAGCATCAACCCTATATCAAGGAAATCATGATCAGAAAAGCAAGCATTGCTACGGTGACCTATAGTTGTTAATTTCTGTGTCATTTGGTCTCTTGTGGAGAGTTGTCTCATTGGCAATCATACCACATCTTCTTTTTCATAAGCATTGGAATATCGTATCTAATTGGAGATATATAATCAATATGCAGACGCTACTGGAAATTCGCTACATAAAAATGGAAAGTTTACAATTGGCAAGCTGAAATCATCTATTTTGTCATAAAGTTTTGTTCTCAACTGACCCCTTAATTCTATATGTAGGTTGATATATGACGGAGATGTTACTGTATCTATGGTATTCTTTATCTCAAGTTCGATAGGATAGATGCGCTTAACGTAGTAACCAAACTTTGAGTTGATTTGTGAAGAAAAATCATCTATATAGTGGAATGTGAAGTTAAAGGATATTGCAAGCTTCTTTTCGTTCTTCACAAGCAACTAATGTATGAAGTCAAATTCATATGAATAGAAATACTATTTGGAAAGAAGAGGACCACAGCTGTTTCCCCACAAAAATGCCGATTGTTTGTTGAAAAAACACGTACTTGAAAGTAAAAAATATGTCACCAATAAAAAAATTAATCCTTTTGACGATGTCAGTTTCAGAGGATTTTTTGTTTGTTTGAATCAGAGTGTTTTTTTTTTTTACTAAATATAATTTATCCCCTCCTAAAACAAGATGAAATATATTGTATATAAACATACAATCATATTAGAAAGTAAATAACAAAAAAAAAAAGTCCTATCTCAAATGGCAAAATCTAAAGCTCAAACACATCAAACGAATATAAAATAAGTTTTACCTGGGTAATTAATATGAATGTAGTTACTGAAATCTGCATTTTGTCACTGTTTATGTTCTTAGACCATTTTTAACAATGGTAACGGAAAATGAATGCAAAACGTCGAAGATTACATTTAATATCTGAAAACTATTTATTAACAAAGAAAGCACTACTATACGCCTTTAAGGAAGTTGGTATGACAAACTTAAAGTCTTACTGTGCTATTTTGTCGATTTCATAAGCACTTTCAATTGTAGTTTTTCCGGCTGCCACAGCGGCTGTCAACAGAAGACGTGATCTCCCGGAAGTCAACACTTCATTGCCATACTTTGTACGTAATGTCTGGAATACAAAATAAAAGACACATAATTTTCTGCTAATGCATAGAGTTCTTTTAAAATTACATCAACTATAAGAGTTAATATTCAAACTTCATTTGGAATGCAGATTTTGATATTCTTTAGGTACTTTTTTGTCAGATAGCTCTTCAGCTGTTTCGGTTCTTATACATCATTGGCTTTCAAATGTTTGAATTTGAGCGTTCCTGATGACGGTAAATCCAGAAAAGTGCGTCGGACGCATGATATTTATAACGTGTAGTTTTCAATTTTTATTGATACAAATGTATGTGTTGCTCGATTCCTATATTTTCAAAATTGTGCGTTTTTTAAAATCTTGACAAAATATTCGTCTATTCAAAACCTAGAATATAATATCTGTTTGTAAGTTTTGAAGAGTGTACGTCACTTGTAAATCTTATCAAGACATTAGATGTGTAGTATGTACGTACACACATGTTTGATTAAATCAGGTTACATAAAATAAAAACAATGACTTCTTAATTAGATTTTGGATAAACTAATGACCATGAATAATTTAGAATAATGATTTGAAATAATCGATTTATCATAGCATATTAAAATTCGTTAACAGAACTGATATATTTTTTTTCGCATAATTACATCTTGTACTTTTACCTTAATTAACTGAGTAAACCTCTGTTTATCTTCAGGAGGACTTCCTCTGTTGGCAGGATATTCCCAGTCAAGATCTAGACCATCAAAACCATTGGCTCTAAGGAATGTCATTGAATTTGTACCAAATTCGTTTATATTTGATTGAGTTGCTACCATCTTGGTGAACGGTGCACTTCCATGATTCCATCCCCCGATAGCTAACAGTATCTTTAAGGCAGGATTTTTAATTCGGGCATCACGGATCATTTCAAACTGACCTTTGGCTATTGAAACAAAATAAGTCAAAGTGAACACTGAACAACATCGAATGGAAATAAAAGTCGTGAAATAAGATAACATCTTTACGTCAATATTGAAAGACAATATTTATTGTTCATTTTTTACTTTTAAAATATACCTTTTTTTTATTTATTAATCATCCATTGTTTGAAACAAAGGAATATAAAAATTACCAATTGCTCATATATATAAGGGTCTAAACCCTACTTTTGTGAATTTAAAGCAATGCTCATAAAATGTTCTGAATAACTTACCCCACTCATTAATATCATTCCATTCATACGGTTCGATATTGTTTCCCACCACCTTAGCAAATGCATAGATAACGTGAGTACATAGATGTGGATCTACATCACTAGCCATATACTTTCCGGTTCCAGGCCGATATTGGGCCCAATTTGTAAAGTAGCACACTCTTTTATAATTTCCTAAGACTGAAATGTATATTCCATATAAAATTAGTACAAATAACATGTACACAATCGCTCACTCAAATTGGGAAGCCTGTTTCATTGCATATCCCGTGTTGAGCATCCATCATGTAAATTATGCTTTGAGTATGTTCATGTTGCTCAGTCATTTAGTTTTTTATGTAGTGATTTTTGGACCTGAATATCTTTACCTCGTCTCGCATTTTGTCATGGTTTTGTCAAATTATCCTCCTCTAATGAAATGTGAATGATGCCTTGGCATTCCCAGATTCTTTTTTAATACTTATCTTTCGCATTGTATAAAGTTGTGTGTTTTTCTCAGACAGTTCGTTATGTCTTTACACTAAATCCGTTAGATATGGACGGATTGATGATTTGGTTTGTGCAAGTCTGGTTTATCTAATTTATTATACATTAAATCGGTACGTAAGTTTGTTTTGTTTTTTTTTTGTTCTGTTTTGTTTCATACCGATGAACAAAACTCCAACTGCGTTTTATAGTTTATCTTAATCTTTGCTGTTACAAATGTGTCCCTATCTCTCAAGGGACGGTTCAATGCTCAAAAACAAGTCTAAACCTGCAACATTCTTCATGTTCCAAGACAGGATATAAGAAATAAAGAGATGTGACATGATTGCCATAAGGTAAATATCCACAATGACCAAATACCGTGTAGTTAAACAACAAATGTAAAGAAACCACACTGTCTTCAACAACGAGGAAAATCCATTCCGTATAGTAAGCTATAAATGACATCGACATGCCAAACAAAACAAAAAAAAACAGATAAAATGAGAAAACCAAAACAGCCAGGCCCGACTTATAATAATAACATAAACACAAATATAAGACACAGCAACCAAAAAACCCTCACAATTGTAGGCTTCTGACATGCATTTTTGATAGACAAACACTAAATGGGGAAGTGTTAAACATGGGTTTTACTAATTGCGGAAGGCCCTACTGTGGGTGACTTTGTTTTGCTTACATCCACTGAATTTGGTCTCTGGTGGATAGTTGTCTTATTGGCAATTATACAACATGTTCTTATTTTTAAAACATTATATTTGCCAGATCAAAGACTAAAATATCAATCAGTACACATCCAGCATCTAATGAATTTATTGTAGAGACATCTTTGACAGTCAGAGAAAAACCTGACATTGTGTAATGCCAAAATATAGGTATTGACAGATTTAAGAATGTGAATGTGCATATGTGTATAACAATAATATTTAGTATAGCCTAAATTTACTGATAAAAAAATCAAAATTTATATCAATAAAAACAATGTTAGTGTTGAATTGATAATCTTTTAGAAAGGAGCTATAAGTTTACCCATATCGTATCTAAATTACATGTTACCGTATTTGCAACATGACGTTTTACATTAGTCTGTTCATCCATAGAATAATTAACAGATAATTGTACTTTTTTTTTAAATTTTCATTACTTTTGAAATTTTATGGGATTAGTTTTAAGTTTTAATATATTCTGATTTTCACTACTTATTAAATCCGAATAAATACAACAGTTCTTGATTGCCTTTTTTTTAAAGCAATACTTGATCAGATGTTTCATTTATTGTAATGTGTTAGAATTATTGTTTCTAAACCACAGTTTATCCAAACTATTTAAATGGTCAGTAAAGCATTCAAAAACTCCTAGAAGATTGCATATAGATATAAATTGTTTAACATCATACTCAAATTTGATCACTTTATTGTGACACAATTTATAATTCTCAATTATCATTGTCCTTACTTTAAACAGATATTTTTATTAAAATAGATTTAAATTATATCTCATTTGTTTGCATATATTGTGGTTGTAGACAATAAAACTTACCAGTTGACAGCGGAAGTAAGAAAACTAGAAAAGTGTGCCGATTCATCTGAAAGGGAAATACCATATACATGTATTTCAATATGAAATATAATTATGATCCCGTTACACAAGCGTTAATGATGGCTATGTTCAAAAATCATTCTATTGTATAAATAGTTATTTACATCATTTCCCCATGGGTTGAATTAAAGAATATGATTACAAAAAAGTTAGTTTGACGTCCTCAGATACATTGTTCCTATAAAATACGGAAGACTTCCTTTATTTTTTTTTTGTGACATATAAACGTTATCAAAGATTGAAATAAGCACTCTCCCTCTATAAACACCCAAAAAGAACATTGTTGATTTTTTGTAATGCCGTCAATGAGACATGATTCACATTATCATAAACCCCTCACAAGTACTTGATGTAATGTTAGAAAGTTACCTTATACCCATGCTATCCTAGCAAAACCCGTATAATGTCCAAAAAAAAAACAAACAATTACATGTACAAAAATATTTTACATTTTTTAACCATTACCTTTTAACCATTTTTTTTAATAGTATTATCATACTCTTAACCACTTCTTAAACTTACTACTATCCTGAATCCTGATCAAACGTAATTTTGAACTAAATAATTGTTCTGTGCTCACGTCTAAGGAAACAGTTGATTTAATAAAAGTCAGTTGTTTATATATCCTTATATGGATCATCGTTTTTTTTTTGTATATTGATATTGTGATTCAGTGTGAAAGATAACACATTAATCTTAAACATTGTCTCATATAGTTTTATTTCCTTACATGACTTTCACTTCTTATTCTGTATTTGTAATTAATATTTTCCTGCTTATTATGTAGTAGTGAAACATAATTCATGCAAACATGCAACGATACTAGTAACTAACGCGTATTCCAACGCTTGTCATTGAACTCTATAGGCAATATGCTTCCCCCATAAATTAGCACCTGGACGAGTATTCAAGATTGAAAGTAAGATATTCAATTTAAAACAAAAAACTTTGATAAAAGATTTTTGAATCAAAGAAACGTGAATTAAGTTCAAAGGTAAACAAAAAGACTATCTCGGTATTTTTAGGGAAGTATACTACCACCAGCAAACGTCAAGTCATCATAGATTTAACAGATTATGTTATGACAAACATTAGATTATCAAGGGTAGAAATATATTAGACAAAATCAGCAGAATTACGGTATAAGTTCAATTGGCCACCTCTGAACAGTTTAAAATAATATTCATCCGACTTATGACAAGCAGTCGATTACCCACGTATAGATAGTTCTTTCTATCTATTCAAAAGAACTGAGACAAAAATGAGATCGCATAAGTTTAGAAAAAAACAAATAGCGCAACGTCTAGACAAGTTGTAGTAGAATTTAACAACTTTTAGATTGTCAAGAATATCTAGATTATCGGAGATATAAGCAGAAGTACTAATAAAAGTGTTATCGCCAAAGACTATTCAGATATTGGTGACATTCATCAGAGGTATGACAATTGATGTATGACTTTGTACTAGAATTAAGTGAAGGTATAGCAAAAATAAGATCCCTTAGTCTTGATAAATCATAGTAAAATTTAACAAAATTATGACAACGTTTTATTGCCCAAGTTAAAACAAATTGTAGTAAATTTAAGCAGATATATGATAGATTTTAAAGCGCCTAATAATAGCAGTTGTGTCACAGAATTTATCAGAGATTTGACAAACGTTTCATCGCCTTAGTCTAGACAGACTATACTAGAATCCATTAGATTTATGACAAACTAGATACCACGATTTAAGACATCTTTTAGAAGAATTCAGCAGAAGTATGACAATCGCTAGATCAATCCAGTCTAGACAGATTGCAGGATATATTTTAAAAGTTGGCTTACTCTAGCTTACCAATTTCAAAACCGTGAGCCATTCGAAGATACCAAACACCAACTTAGGTAACACATAAAGTGGTTTTACTCTTAAAAGCAACTCAGAAGGAGTAAACTTTAGCCCTATTACAACGCAAACAAAAGCCTAAATATCTGTCACAGATGACCACTGATATGTTCCAATTGTAGCACTATTCCGTCTTCATTTCCTTGGTTGTTACTACATCACAACATAACACTTATCACCGACTTTGTAATAACAATAAATAACACGACGAGTGCCACAAGTTGCGCAGGATCTCCCTACTTACTTGCTGCCAGAAGAAGGATATCAGGCCGTTTACATTGTAAATGCCAATCGATACTTGGGTTGCAAATTTCCGTCTCGACATTGTAACGATTAGCTGGGAATCAAACGAACAATTTATCATTGGCTTCCTTGTTCATCTTATTCCCACAAATATGAACCTTTTATTTACTTTCAATCTGCAGAACAAAATAAAGCTTTGTTTCCATCATTTTTGCTATGGCCTTTCATTTTGAAACAGTAATCACGTGATGAGAGTTATCTTATTCGAATGGCACGTCTACCTTCATACATTGATAAATATCGGTGTCCAGTGATCTAAATAGTTGATCTACAGCAGGTTGTGATTTCGAACCCCACACGTCACAGGTGCGTTTGACTCCAATCCTAATTGACTAGGATTACCAGTTTTCCTGTCACTGGTCGGTGGTTCTCTCTGGGGTCTCCGGATTGCTCCAACCAATGAAAACTGGCCGCCACGATATAGCCAAGTACAAGTGGTGTTAAACACTAAGAATCAATCAATCAATTAGAAAACTTACCTCTTCCTTCAGTGTAAAGAATTGAAACGTAGCGCAATGATAATGGAGGTTTTTAACAACCTTGACTACCCATGATGGTCTTGCACGGTCGGTGAACGTAGCGCAAGCCAACGTTTTAGCACAGAATAGCTTCAATGGTTATGTGCTGTGAGGAATAACAATGCAATCTCTTGTAAAAAATAAAAGTTCTTTGCGGAAAGTGTTAAGTGCTTGGAAATGTTTCGTGCTACTTTCAGAGGGGAGATGGTAATTGAAAAACACAGACAGAAATATCTCGGACATGCACATCTTTTAACCAAATTATTTATGCATGTCTTTAAACACAAGCTGCATTTACAGATACGCAACAACAATAATCATAGAAGGCCGTACATTGATCTAAAGTTGAATTCGGTCGCAAGAGGTTTTAACAGTGTTTTTTCCATTTTGTTTATCCTTGTAATTTCATACTATCTTCAGCGTTGGCTTCTTTGTTAGATTTGTTTTGTCAGTTGTGTTGTATGTCTGTGATGTATGCTTACAAAGTTTTGGCTGCTGGATCCCAATTATTGTCACATTAACCTATTACGTCTGTTTGGATTACTCACCCAATTGTGTTTATATAACGGAACTATAAACAACTGTCAAACAAGCAGGAGGTTTAGCTAGCTTCGAAAAATGCATGTAACAAGTCAGAAATGTGACAGGTGTTTACCACTCGCTCCGTTTGATATAATCGGTTTGTATGGACTTCTCCTTTCAGTTCTGCATTTTTGTTATAGTTATTTTTGCATACGTCTACGTCTCACTGACACTCATACCACATCTTCTTATTCACTTTAAGGGTTGACATGGGAAAGAGATAATACACGATTACATCAGGATAAAATCTAAGCCTATTGAAAAGGGTATGATGAAATTTTTCAGAAAGCCCCGACAATAAACCAGACATTGAATGTGTCGTACCATTTGAATTAAGGTAGCACAATACAAAGATTTTATACCTCCAATTCCTTAGTTTTAAAATGCTGTAACTTTCTTTATAATGCTTGAAAATTTATAAAAGTGGTATTTATGGATAGCTAACAGATTACTCTTTCAAATTAATGCAATGTTAGTATTATACAACAATTATGTAATCAATTATAATGTTAACTGTGTCTACAAAATTTTACAAGAAATTTCCACTTTCAATTGAAATTAGCTTCTTCATGGTTACCCCTAGAGGGTTGATTTTATTATATGTTGTTCCTACAGCCATTATCTACAAAAGGGTGTCTCAGATTTCTGACAGAATGTATAGATCAAATTTTACACCTAATCAAACATCATCTACTTTTATGTGGTAAGGATGTTTACACTAATTACAGATTTATGAGAGAATGGAATACCATAGCGATAATTTGAGACACCCTTTTGTAGCTCCTGCTGTGTTGATTAAGATTTCGTTAAAATTTCCTGTATAGTTATAGAGATAAAAGAGCTAAATTCATTCAAGTGAACTGACCAAGATTTTACCATTAATTGCATGATAATTGATTACATAATGATTGCATAACAAAAATATTGCATTCATTCAAAAGATTAATCTTTTATCTATCTATATATACCTCTTTTATTAATTTATATGCATTTTTAAGAAAGTAACAGCGTTTTAAAGGTTGGAGATTGGAAGTAAAAAAATCTTTGTATTGTGCTACCTTAAATGATACAAACTGGATGTAAATAGCAAAATTGGAATTCGGGGTGTGTTGAAAAAAATATAAATTCAGTTGATAGATGATCAAGGAACGGAATAAATTTATGCATTGTAGTATCCAATTCCAGGGATAATCATATCATATTACCCGTAAAGAAGAAAAGAAACCATAATGGATTTAAATAAATATTTTTTTTATTGCTAAACATTCTTTATTCAGAATCATCACATAACACTAAATTACATAAACTAAATGCACAAAGATCTAAGTAGTTACTTCATACTATTATACATTATACTTCATCGAATAACAAGCTATACAAAAATGAAAAATTCCTTGATCGGTGTCGAGTTTTCTCGTTCAGTCGTCTTTATTGAAGGGTTTACTTATTGAAAACTGTACCACGTCTATTTTCCATATATAACCTAAATAAGATATATGTTCTTCGGCCGAAATAAAAAGATTGCAATGCCAAATAGATCAGACGTTTTGAAGTGGCGAAACGAAAGAAAATCCTAAACAGAATCTTTTAGATGAACTTTGCAGGAGGGAGTTAAATCCTGTTGAGGTACAATAAAGTAAATGTTATACAATACAAGAATGCCAGCGCTTCTAGCATGTTTAGGTTGAAAGTTAGAGAGAAAATGACAAATACTGACCAGTCGATATGTTAATTAATCGTATGGTACTTATTTAGGTGCTCAATACACATTTTTTTAATTTTGAAAAAAAACCTTAAACATTTAAGATTAACACGATGATTAACAGGTTTTTGTCCTACGGTTAAAACTTTGGTTCCTTAGAAACAAATTGGTCAATTTCACCTTGAATGTTCGCTTCATCATAGACATAAGCAACGTTCGGAAAATCATTCGGACCTCGTAAGCTGTCATACTGTCCCGGTTTAATCTTCTGTACAGAAAAACGCAACAGCTTTTTCTCGTAACCTTTTAGTTTGAAGATAAAAAAGATTAACACTATATTTGTTCCAATCGATATAGTCAGTAGAACTGCAAGAACAACATTTATTGATCCGCTATTATGTAGGCTTAGAAAAAAGATTGATCATATGTTAATATAACTTATGAAGCATTCATAACGCTTGTTTTCAAATACATGTACAACTTAAAATAGCAAGGAATCATGCTTAAAGGTTTGATATTTATAGATGTATATATTCTAGAGTATTAACGAATGTCTGTCAAGATCTTGTATTAGATGTAATTTTTACAGACACACAAGGTCATGTTTT